GCAGGGAGCCCGATGCGGGACTCGATCCCGGGACTCCAGGATCGTGACCTGAGCCGAAGGCAGTCGCTTAACCAACTGAGCCACCCAGGCGCCTCCATTTTTAAGATTTAATACACTTAGAAAACTAGGATGAGTAAGAACTTCCTTAACCTGATATGACCTGTATACCAAAATCTATGGCAAATATTCTTAAGGAAAAACTCTGGAAACATCCACCATCTCCTTCTAAAAATCAAGAACAAGACAAAGATGCCACCTATCACCACTCCTATTCAACATTTCCACTGGAAGTTCTAGCCAGCAAAATAAGAAAAATAAATGAAAAAGGATAGGAAAGGTTAACAAAATTAAGATTATTAGCAGATGACATGATCATTTACCAAGAAAACTCCAAAGAAGCTACAGAGAAAATATTAGCAATAATAAAGAGCTTAGGAAAGTGGTTGCCTATAGGATCAATATTCAAAAATCATTTGTATTTCTATGCACTTGGCCCCCAAAAGAAGAAAAATGTGTTTTAATAAAACCATTTACAATGAAAACACAATTAGTCACTGTGGAGTGAATCTAACATCTGCACAAGACTAGCATGCATACATTTTTAAAATTTGATTTAAAGACCTAGACAAATGGAGAGTTACTCAAGAATGTTCAAGAATAGGAAGACTTGGTATCTTAAAGATACCAATTCTTCGTGTAGATACAGTACTATTCCAGTCAAAATCCCAAGAGGGTGGGGCTCCTGGGTAGCTCAGTCAGTTAAGTGTCTGCCTCCAGCTCAGGTCATGATCCCAGGGTCCTGGGATCGAGCCCCACATTGGGCTCCCTGCTTGGCAGGGAGTCTGCTTCTCCCTCTCCCACTCCCCCTGCTTGTGTTCCCTCTCTCGCTGTGTCTCTCTGTCAAATAAATAATAAAAATAAAATCTTTAAAAAAATTCTTTAGTTTTGAAAATGATACACAGTGATAAGAATCTAAAGATTTTTAATACCGTATGAACTCTCATGTGTTTTGTTTCTACGATAGAATTAGATCGTTACGGGGAAAAATGCTTTGGTGAACCTTTATATATTAAATAGGTTCCTTAAAAAGGTCTGTACAATTCATACTTTAAATCTAGAAGAGAGCCAGATGCAGCAGGACATGTAGTTTCAACAAACTTCCTGCAGAGTAGATCTCCTATAATGTAAGATCTCCCTTTTAGTTTCTTCCTGATTGTTATGTATTAAGTATAAGAATCACCTATGTCTATCAATATAAACATTGCATAAATAGTAACAACTATTACTAAGCACTTGATATTTGCAGAGCACTGTTTTCAAACTTCAAATATATTTCCTCTGTTATTCCTAGCAATGGAAAAAATTAATTTGTTACCATTTTTCTACTTTAACAGTTAAAACTATTGTTTTTCTGATTTCACTGATAAGGGAGGAAACTAATTCACAAAAATGACAAACTTCCATAAGGTCACAGGGCTAGGAAATGGTGGGGCTCAGATGCAACTTTTCTGCCTCCTGGACAGCAGTAAAATACAAAGTATATACTTGTTTGGTGAATGTTACTTGTCAAAAAGATTTTGTGTGTGATTCTAAATGTAACTTGAATCAAAACAAAACGGTCTTTTTTAAATGGTCACAGGTAGGAAGTCATGGAGTAGAAGCCATTTGGGCTGGTGGCAGAAATGGTCGGGAAGTCATGGACCGATTCTTCCCACTGGCTCCAGACCTTTTGTCACCAAGAGGATTATTCTATCTGGTTACCATTAAAGAAAACAATCCAGGTAATCCAGACTACTTTATCTTTTAACCACGTACTTTGCTGAAATCAAAAGTTAATAATGTTAAAGACTATAAAGTAACCTGAAATACTGTAAATATAATCACTGACAACAGCTCACACAAACATAACATTCATATTGAAAGAAGAGAGATTTTTAAGATACAGTTTTTTCTGGTTTTAGAAAGTAGTATTTTTTTAAAGGGAGAGGACAGTTTTTCCCCTAATAAAATAATATTCAAACACAAAATCTGTAATTTCTTCTTTTAACACCTCACCCTGAATATTATGAATTTTCTCTCCACATCGTAGTCTACATGCCCTTGACAATTCTGCTATGTACTCTTTAGTTCATGTGAAGTTTTGTTACGAAAGCTAGCTCATGGTATGGAGTTTTAGATCTTGGTTTTCAGATGACTCCGTACTAAATTGACCATAATCTTTCTTCTCTTTCAGTACACAAGTTTGATTTTCATCTTATATCTTATGTCCTTAGCCCCTCAAATCACATAATGATTACTAAGTTTTGCTTTGTTTGTAAGTCCATTTTCTTAATTCAGTCTTTTTAGTATCACTTATTTACAAAAGGGAAGGTGTTGCTTTTTTCAGTATACCTGAAAGAAATAAGCTATTTCATTTACTTCCACTGTTTAATGTCACTGTACAGTTTGCCCTACTTTCATTGACTTTTTTCATCCCAAAGGAAAGGCCAGGATTGGAGCCAAGCAACTAAACTAATTACTTGCTATAACGACAAGTTTAATTAATGTTTCTGTTGAGTCCAGAGTAGGCCACCACTGCAAAGCAAGGCCGTTCAGTATGATTAGAGTTCTCCACGACACCTTGAAAATGCAGGTGCTCCCATTTGACTAAAGTCCATTTTAATAGAAATTTACTTGGTATACATTGTTTTCTCAGATAAGTAGAATTTGCAAATAGTCTGCATTTATCATCTTATTAAACTGTTTAGTGATCATACACTCTTCACTAGATGATTTTAATTGGATTTTACCTTTTGTTTTAATTTTTATTCTAGAAGAAATTTTGAAAACAATGATGACAAGAGGTCTGCAAGGGACTATTGCACTTTCCAGACAAGCAGGCCAAGAACTCCTCTCAGTCCTGAAGTTTACCAAGTCCTAACTTACTGTGTGTGCTGTGTATTATGCTGGATTGTATATATTGATAATATATATTATATTGAATATATATGTGAATATATATAGAGAGACAAGCTGAATGTATTTGGCATATTTTGAAAATGAGGTCATTTCTTCGTTAACAAGTGAAATTGTCAGGTTATATAGAAAAAGGTGGGAAGGGCATTGCATTCCCTTTTCCCCAGGTAATCAAGCCTACAGAAATAGTTGAGTAAGTGCTAGTAAATGCATTTAGAATATATATTATTTGCATTTTACGTATAAAACCTGAACATAAGTGATGTATCCAGTCACTAAACATGAGTCAGGTCTGAAGGTGTTCCTAATGTACTACTGAGGGAAAAAAGCAAGTTCAAAACAGTATGATCTTGTATGTATAATTTTGAAACCCAGCAGAGAGGGTGTGTGTGTATGTGAACATCGGAACATCTCAGAAGGTACATGGCAGGAGGGAACGCGGGACTTTTGCTCTTTTATGGTAGCATTTGCACAATGATAACATATGACTTGTATAATTTTAAAAAGGTTTTCATTTAAAAATTTTTTTAATTTACTTTCACTTGTTCACTGTCTCCATTCTATTTCTATTACTTAGAATGCCTTCTGCCTCCATGTTTCTCCCTGGTCAGATTTTTCCTGCCTTTTATCCTTTGTCATATATTTCTGTTTTCTTCTTTCCTATATGTGTAGGATCAGAGTGAGTGGAATCTAGAATTTATTTTTAATTGGGCTATATTCAGAATCAACTGGAGAAGCTTTTTAAGATTATAAATTCCTAAGCCTGACCATAGACCCGTGGACTCCTCTGCTGAACAGACCTAAAAATGGCATCTTTTAAAACGTGCTTCCCAGTGTTCCTTAAAGTAGTGCACCAAATTTTAGAACTATTGGGTTGTTTTGTTTTGTTTTGTTTGTTTTTAAAGATCTATTTATTTATTTGACAGAGAGCACAAGCAGGGGGAGCAGCAGAGGGAGAGGGAGAAGCAGACTCCCCATGGAGCAGGGAGCCTGACACGGGGCTTGATCCCAGGACCCCGAGATCATGACCTAGGCTGAAGGTAGACACTTAACTGACTGAGCCACCCAGGTGCCCCTAGAACTATTGTTTTAAATCACATTATTATTTAATGCTTAGGACAATGCACAGAAAGAGTGGAATTACCCTCCTTTGATGTTCAGAAAGGTCAAATAACTTGTCCAAAGACGCACAGTAGTTAAAGGGTAAAGCCAGTATGGCAGCACTCAGACACATCTGACTCCCAAACGCTTTCTTTCAATTTGCTTATAATGCAGCAGTAAAGATATCAAAATTAGTATTTACTTGAGTCTAATATCTGTAAATGTATTCCCCTTCCCAGAAATAGTCATCTGAAATGTTACAATTAAAAAAAAAAAAAAAAGGCTAAAAAAACTTAGAACTTTATTGTGGGTCTTTAGTTACAATTTTGGAGAATGGGGTCTTGAATATTTTCAGATAACATTTGAAACACTTCAAAATTCGCATAGAAGACGACTGTCAACATAGGAGATTAAAAACATAGAAATGCTACATAAATGACCCCAAAACTTCAGCATAACTGTTAATGGACTAAATTGTGTCCCCCCAGATTCATATGTTGAGGTCCTAATCCCCAGAACCTCAGAAGGTGAGTATATTTGAAGATGGGCCTCAAAGAGGTTTAATTACCTCTTTAAAGGAGGCCATCAGGGTGGGCTCTGATCCAATCTGACTGGCCTCCTTACAAGAGATTAGGACATACGGAGACACCAGGGATGCTTACACACACAGAAACAAACCACATGAAACTCAGTGAGAGGCAGCCATCTGCAAGCCAAGGCAAGAGACTGCAGAAGAAACCCAACCTGCTGACGCCTTGCTCTTTGACTTCAGCCTCCTGAACTGTGAGCAAATAAATTCCTGTTGTTGAAGCCACCCAGCCTGTGGTATTTGTCATAGTGGCCCTAGCAGACTAATATAGTAATTAAAGACAGGGAAATACCTGCATTCTGCAAACAAGAGAAAGCAGTGCTAGCGTGAAAAGTGGATGCTATGTCCTGGTGGTCAGAGCTGTGGCCCGGAGCCTTCAGGAGGAGAGGTGCAGATCCAGCTCTCTTCGTGCCAAGAAGGAGCTATTAAATACAGGAAGAAAGAGGACCTGTAAAACCACATCATTTGGCCCAAGGGAAGCAGCAAAAAAAACTGTCATACCTTGAATGAAAAGAAAAATAATAATAATCTATTACTGTTATAGATTATGCTAACCTCTGTTGTAGGATTTAATTCATCCTATTGATGTGAGGTAGGAACATTAACATGAAAAAGTTAACATTAAAATTATCTAAACCGTTGCTCACCAAGAAGCTACAATCAATGAGAGCAGAAAAAAAAAACAAAAACAAAAAAACAGACACCTAAGGTATATAAACAGTGGAATTGTTATATTCAGATTGTGGAATGTTTGACATGTTTAAAGAATTAACATAAAGAAAAGCTCATACAAGAAGAAACTGGAAAGAACAAATTGAAGTCGACTTTTAAAAATGAGAAATACAGACATGGAAATGCATTAGTGTTAATTTGTGCTTACCAAAAAAACAAAAAAAACAACAGTATTTTAAAACAAAGGAGTGATAATATTCCATTCCAAAATTAAGATTTAGTTCTTTTTTTTTTTTCTTTTTTCCTCATACTGGGAAGAAAAAGGAATACAAATTAAGATAGGACTGAAAAAAGAGAAAAATTTAGACAGGACTGAAAAGACTCAGGAAGAGATTAAGAGAAATATAGCCATGTTAGGAACCTTTATGACTAAATGTAAATCATTTTATGTGTAGATGTAGGATGTGATTCATACATACACTAAAATTACTTTGCATATAAAATAATATAATACATACCAATGCCTATCTCCATTCTGTGTTCATTTTTCTTTTTATGTAAACTTTGTATTGAGGTGGAACATACTTTATAGATTGTATATGTCTTAGGTGTCTAGCTTGATGGATTTTTACGAAGTCAACATCCATTTAGACTACACCCAAATCAAGAAATAGAACACTACCAGCATTCCAGAAGCTCCACCAGATTTCCTTCCCAGTCACCTCCCACTCACCAAGGGAAACCATTGCTTGGCTTTTTGTGTTAGTTTTTTATTTCTGCATAACTAACGGCTCTAACTTTACTGCTATTAGCACAAATTTATGGTCTCACAGTTTCTTTGGGTCAGGAGTGTGGGTATAGTGAGCTGGATTCACTGCTTAGAATCTCACCAGGCTGTAGGAAAGGTGTTGCTCATGGCTGTGATCCCATCTGGGTCTCAGGGTCCTTTTTCATGTGGTCGTAGGACTAAAGTCACTTTTCTGGCTGTCGGGTAGGGATAACTGTCACCTTCCACAGGCCTCTCTTGAATCTTTGTACCATGATCACCTCCACAGGCACTTCACAGAATGGTCGCTTGCTTCTCTATGGCCAGCAGGAGAATTTCTTGACCTTCAAATCTACAGTAAGGGCCTAGAATCTCTTTGAAAGGACTCATCTGATTAGGTCAAGTTCACCCAGTATACTCTTCTGTTTAATTAATTAATCCAAACTCAACTGATGAGGGACCTTATGTAACCTAATTACAGAGAGAAATAAAGTCATTCACAAGTCCTACCCACAGTCAAGGGATGGGGATGACACAGTGCATGTACACCTGTGGGAGTGAACCTGGCAGGCCATCTTAGAATTCTGTTACATTCCTTTTACTACAGATCTGGTCTTCCTGCTTTGACCCTGTATTAATGAATCATATGATATATACTCTTTGGTGTCTAGATTCTTTCATTCAATAGTGTTTTTATGAGATTCTTCCATGCAGTTGTGTACAGCAATTATTTATTCATTTTCACTTTTGTATATTCTCATTACTTCTACTGTATGAATGTATCAAAAAAAAATTTCTTTAAATATTTATTTGACAGAGAGAGACACAGCGAGAGAGGGAACACAAGCAGGGGGAGGGGTACAGGGAGAAGCAGGCTTCCCGAAGAGCAGAGAGCCCGACGTGGGACTGATCCCAGGACCCCGGGATCATGACCTGAGCCGAAGGCAGCCGCTTAACTGACTGAGCCACCCAGGCGTCCCGAATGTATCAAAATTTATCTATTCTACTATTGAATATCTGGATTGCTTCTAGCTTTGTATCATTGTGACCACATTTGTATCTTTCAGCAAACATGTATGCATTTCTGTTAAATACATACCTACCAGTTATCTTCAGCTTATTAATAAAAACTTTTCCCAAAAGTCACTTTTTAAGAATTGAGAAACAGAATCCCTAAAATCAAAACCCACAATGGACAGGGTAAACAGCCGAAAAGAGAATTAATGAACTGAAAAAAATTCAAGTGCTGCCCAAAGAGATAAAATACGAAGGAACAATAAGGATTATGAAGGATAAAACAAACAAGAGTCCCAAAAAGAATGTAAGAAAGATGGGGTGCCTGGGTGGCTCAGGTCGTGATCCCAGGGTCCTAGGACCCTTGCTCCGGGGGAGCCTGCTTCTCCCTCTCCCGTTCCCCCTGCTTGTGCTCTCTCTCTCTCTGTCAAGTGAATACAAGTCGCAAAGGAGAGCTTAAAAAAAAAAAAAAAAAAGAATGTAAGAAAGGCAATATTTGAAAAGATAATGGCTAATATTTTTCTGGAATTGACTTTTTAGAAAGAAGACAGATTCCAGAAGCACAAACAAAATAAAGGGAAATCCACACCTAGACATAGCGTAGTGGCATTGCAAAACATCAGAGGCAAAGAGATCTTCAAAGGTAATCAAAGGGAAGGAACGACTCACTGGTAAGCATGGGTTGGCAAACGTTTTGTAACTAAAATATTGGATGGAGCACAGCCCTGGCCATTCATTCAAGTATGGTGTGTGGCTGCTTTGGCCTACAGAGGCAGAGTTGAGTAGTCACAGCTTAGACCACAGAAACCACATGGCCCACAAACCTCAAAATATTTACCATTTATCCCTTTAATATGTTTGCCAACACTGCTACAAAGGAACTATAATTGAAGTAACAACAGATTTCTTAAACAGCGACAAAGGAAGCCAAAAGCCTGTGGAATAATACCCTCACAACAAAGGAAGCCAGAAGCTAGTGGAGTAACATCCTCAAAGTGTTGGGAGTAATGGTCCATCTGTTGGGTTCCAACAAAACTCTGACAAGCAAGGTTTGTAAAAGTAGATAAAAATGAGGGAGTTTGGGGCGCCTGGGTGGCTCAGTCGGTTAAGCGTCTGCCTTTGGTTCAGGTTGTGATCTCAGGGTCCTGGGATCGAGCCCCACATCAGGCTCCTTGCTCATCAGGGGAGTCTGCTTCTCCCTCTCCCTCTGCCATTCCCCCTGCCTGTACTCTCATTCTTTCTGTCAAACAAACAAATAAATAAATAAAAGGTGTGTTTCAGGGAAAAGGAAAAACATCCCAGAAGTCTCAAATGGGGGGTGCCTGGGTGGCTCAGTCGGTTAAGCATCTGACTCTTGATTTTGGCTCAGGTCATGATCTCAGGGTCATGAGAT